TATGCAATTGCTTAAGAGAATTCTTCAATGTGTCCTCGTAGCGTCGTTTTGGTCCTCTTGGTTGACGAGCACCGGTGACAATATAATGGAAGAGTTTATTATTCTACGAAGGCAGCTGAGATAGAAGTGGTTGAGTTTCTTGAAATGGTTGGAGTAGGTGGTCCAGTTCTCCGCACCGTAGATAAGTGTCGTCGGGACGACGGCTTTGTACATCTTCAATTTGGTATCCAGTTGGACGCCATGACGATTCTACACGGGGTTCTGCAGCCGGCCGAAGGCTTGTCTGGCTTTGTAGATCCGATGGGCCACTTCGTCGTCGATTCTGGTGCTGTAGCGACTCTACTTCGGGTACCTGTTTCAAAGCTGTTCCTATCGCGAGTGCCTACAGATACGCACCAATGGCATGCGGATTTTCGTCTGCTGAGTTTTCCTAGTAGCCAATTAGTTTCAAGACCGACTTAGACGTGCTCCCGTTTAAGACAGTGTGGCGCATACTCCGCTAACACTCGGGATGCCGCAGTCCCGGAGCGGGGCCAACCCCGTACGGCTGCCGCCCCTCCCCAACCTCTTCTGCGGCAGTTCTGTACAGAATAGACTATTTTCACAATTGGCATCTAACTCCTCTTTCTATTCGGGACCGAGTCTGAAGGTCGTAGTGTCTCTGGTCTCATTATGGCCTAAGCTGCTGTGATAACATCACTTCGCAACTGCCTTTGATCTAGGCCACTTGGAGGGAAAATAAACCCGACTGGCTGTTTAACACCTCCGGAACCTATGGAGCAAAAATACTGTTGTCTTTGGTTTCCTAAGCTAAATTACTGTACTAATAATGCCTTATCTAAAATTTCTTCCCATAGTTGATTAGCGGGACCTAGGTTTCAGTTTTAGTGGATATTCGTCCCTAGCGCTGAAGACATTAGTCGCCAAATAAACGCCTCGATTTTGCTGGTGTACGCATGTAAATTCCTTTCTTGGATTCTGGACGCTCGTGCACAGAAGCTCGGCTTGCATGACATGTCTTAATATCTACATAGCGTCCAACTATCTGTACTTCTGTAGTCGTATGTGGCTTTTGGAGACATACCATTTAATCGTTGGCTAGTCTTACAGCTCCTCTTTTACTAACTGTTCCAACTGAAGCAATATTATCTAAATCATCTGGTTTCCATTTTGAACGAGACTGCCGTTCAGAGGAAATAGTAAGTTTTTCAAGCTTTCGACGTTTCTAACTCGTGACTATTCTGTGAGCTATGTATTCTGATATCACAGTTTTTGGTTGTTGGGTTCAACGCGTCGGCCTCACGAGCGTCAGTCTTCCGTTCCTGGCGAGAGAGGCCAAGGCACACCAGGCCGTCCACAATGAGCTGCCAGTTGGCCTGACTGGCTCGATTACTGCGAGCTTAGCAGCACAAGCCCGAAGGTCGATGATATGGCTAGTAATTTTCTAACACTAACAGAGTTACAAGCTAGTGTATGCTTAACGCCCATGCCCTTCTGGCGACAATTAGCTTTTCCTCTTTATCCTAATCAGAAAACCTGTATAAGAGCATATGAAATATAACGGCATCACTACCGTGATGCCAGAAAAGTAACTAAACCATCGCGTTCAGAATAAACGCCTCCGTCCACTGGGACCGTTCTTTTTTAATGCTAGAGAAAGACTGTTGATGATTGTAACTTTTACTTTACATCCATGAACTTCGTTGATACGTGAAAACTAGTGTAGCATACTCCAATTCTGGTATATCTAAGAAGATAGGGGTCCCTGGGAGATCGAGTCTGTCTTTCCATCCTGTTATTCCATACCTGGTATGTCGATGTGAGATACAAACTTGAAAAAGTATTTAGCAAAGGTTCAGACGCTAACCAAACAGAGATCACAGTCGAATTGGCAGTCGTCTATCACAACGCCATATGATTAGGTGTGGCACGCCAGGCACCCCAAAATTGTCGCAACGTCCGATGGTTGGCGAATGACATGGCGATCAACGATTAGCATCTACGGCATTACCTTAATGCTGACACGGGCCATTTACAGCCCGTGCCGTGGCGTCCTGGATCTCACATGAATGAGAGCACCCTAACGATCGCCTTGGAAAGCCATTTTAATTTGCTCCTCTCTCTCTGGAGATGTGCCGAGTTCTCTCCCAGCTAGTAATGATTGTACCAACGTCTCTCAGTTCATAGAGTAAGTTCACCTGTGTCATCCTAGCATATTCGAGGTGCGATGAATTGACATTAGGAATGGTACATCAGTGTAGACTTGATTATTCTACCCCTTTTCCATGCTGGGGAGGTGCTGTAGCCGGCCAGCAGTTAAGTTTTCGCTCATCGCTCACACGAATCATTCATCCGTCGTTGTGGTAGGTTGATGGACGGGGAATGGCCGATTTTGATCTGTACACACATATCGAACAGGCCAATGTAACGGCTGAATGTTAGGGTACAGTTTGGGCGGAAGAAGGTTGGCATGACCGTTGTTAGCCGGAGTTCCTTGTACTGGTTCTTAAGTCGCACTGCAATAGGTTCGCAGGCATCAGGACAGGGTGGTGCACGACTGCAATGCACAATCAGCATGCGAGTTATCTGGTTTTGGCTTACGCTGATGATAATTGCTTCGCGTGCTCAGGTTTCACGACTACAAACTTGCCAGCTCATGGGAAAACAAGATGGAAAAGAAATGTTAAAGTTAGGGCAGGTGAACAGAATTCTTCTACAATTATGTTATTTTGTTATTCGGAGTTGGGCATGATTATGCTGACACTGCAGACTCCGGAGTTGTTCAAACGGGAGAATTGGGCGGGCATCTGCAGTAAAAACATTCTGGCAGAGTTTGCGCGTCCCCGACATCGGTACACGGCCGCCCAGTATTCCCTGCTCTTAACTTTTGTGGTTCCCTCACATTCATTTAGCTTTGTACACATCTGATCCAGGCTTTAAAGCTGTTTGGCATGCCTGTCGGTGATGTGCGAGTTTGTTCCCGGGTCTTTTGTTTACGTTGGAGGCACTTGAGACGGTTTTCAGTGCATCCTTATAAAGTTGTTTCTTTTATGCACGCTGCCCGCAAGTCCCCTTAGCAACGTTCATGTAAAAGGGTCGCTTTGGCATATGTCTATTATTTGTTATTATGACGAGGCCCTTTCACCGTGGTTGGATTTGCCTCAGCGCCCGGCACACCATTTGGCTCAATAATCTGATGAGCACATTGCATAACAGCCAGGAAGTGTTAGGTCCCACGAGTTCATACGTAATTACTCAGCGCACTTCAAATTTCTGAGTTTGTAAATAGCTGAAAAGTCCTACAGCTGGCACAGTGTGACTAGATACTGCAACATGTAGTGGTCTAATACTCCTCAGTGTTTTAGGCGAAATGGGATTGATCGCCGATGAAACCATATGCTCTTTTGCCCAGTCTGGCTAGTCTTTCTTTTCTCAGAGTGGTGCTGCTTTCGTCATAATCAATGACACGCGTCGCCAACGGGTTTCTCCGCATAATTAACCATGGCTACTTAGCTAATTTTTATTACTTTTGAGATGAAATTGCGCGAAAAGCTTTGAAAAGTAGTCCCCGGCCGAAGAGGTAGCATTAGTTAAGGTAAACGACACGTTTACCGACACTATCCTCGTAAGTTAAGATGAAGGGAAAATGCAGCTGCCAATAAATTTTTCGCTTTTTGGCATAATCTACTTCCTCCTCTTTCAACGGAAGATATCAAAAGTCGAAGTAAACAGAATCTATAATCGACACATTCTGTTTAAACAAGTGAACAAAAAGTCATCAACAGAAATTTTGACCATGGACTTTGCATAGGAGCGAACCAAGGACAGTTGCCACAGTAAAAAAGTGCAAAATAAGTGGTACAAATGCATCGGAACAGTGACGCATCCTCTCCTTTTTCTCGCAATTACCGAGCAGACCCTTGCCAAGGTTTGTAGGATCGCATTCTGCTCATCTTGCTGCAATAAGAAAAAGGTATACTCCGTCTAATGACCGTTACTTCCCAATTTTTGTAAAATTATTGCAAAGATTGATATGTCTCGTCAAAAATCAAAAGTTAAAAAACACTCAAACAAAACGTTAAAGAGGTAAGCGTCTCGACGCGAGGCACCTTCGTAACAACCTATCTAATCATTTCACTCGTGCAAGGTCGTCCTAGCAGATTCAGAGCAGGTGACATCGAAAATCTCCGTCGGCCTGTTGAAGCCACATCAAATGATTTCTCGATAAGCGGACCTATAAGGCACTGACAGCAACTGTAGAGCACTGACAAGGCTGTCAAGAGCGAAATTAGGAGCTTCAAGCTGGAAAATGTTCCTAAAAGATCTCATGTAAGATAGATAATTAACTTCTAGAAAGCTAGTTCGTCCGCCATATTGCATCGGCGGGCTTTCAAGTTTCGGCCGTCATTTGTTGTGCTTTTCATCTATGAATATTTCCTAATTGCTCATCAGTTGGTCTCGTTCACTTGCTGTGCAGCGATTTTTATATTCCTTTTTTGTTGGCATCACAAGTATAAAGTCAAATGTACGCTACGCTATCGCCGTTTCGAGGGAAATAAAGTCTGGTTTAAATTTTGCACGGAATTCGCCGACGACTGTCAATGATGTCAAAAGTTGCAGTTTGCAGTTAATATGTCGCTTTTGTAATCTTCCGAGGCTATTTATTTCCCATACCCTTGGTAAATGAAGGGCGTTCTTACTTAACATTTTTGAAGATACTTTCAGAATAGAGTGCATTTCACTCTCTTAAAATTAACTTAGGTCTTTGTTATATACGCAGGTGTAACTTACAGAAAAGCAAACACAGGACCAGGAGAGAAATGTTTTGATCCTCAAAAAGGTCGTTGGAGATCTAGGCTTCGATTGTGGCATCTTGCGCAGCCTCACCGTTGGCCTCTCCATCGTCCCCAACACCCTCACCACTTTCTCCCTCTCCTTCTCCATCATCTAAATAAGGAAAAATCAAATCAGGATTTTTCGGTGTGTACGGTTTGCGTGTTTCGTCAAGCCCAAAATCTACGCAAATTTTCTCTGTGCATATTAAGCATTTGTTATGTTTATAAACAAACGAAAGCGCCTGAATTTATGTGAAAAGGAAAACTACGTGGTATATTTTCAATTTATTCTAGGTTATCAGCATGAACGGCACGCGGGAAGATGATTGGAATGAATTTGGGGTTTCTATCATTAGACTAGGTGTTATGCTCTGTTTAAAAAAATTATCGGCTACATGTCACTCCAGTTTGAAATCTCCCCTGCGCAAAGTTGTCCGTGAGATAGACACAGAATAATTGACAGTTAGTGAGTCTTTAAATAAACTCCGGATATGGATTTACTAAAGTAGAATGAGCGGACGCAGTTGTTGGATGTCTGGTGTTGAATGCGAAGGCGTTGGGTGGCCACAACCTCACTGTCAAACACCAAGTGAAGCTTTTCGTCTGGTCCTCTCGTCTTTCGTCTGATCCCAAGAAACGTTTCTTGTCATGAAAGGTGGCCTCAAAAGGTACTTAGGAGGAAATCTAACCTACAGGAGTTATTAAAGCACTTGACGGAACAGAGAGTTGCTGGTCGGTCACATAGGTATATCTTAGTATATTAAGATGGACAAGTTAGCTTGCTTTTCGAAGGGTCATTGACACTGTTCCTCTAACAGTTTGCCACTTGATGCAGTCGTCTGGAGAGTGACATTTCTGCCTGCTACAACGGTACCAACTGTGTAATACTTTATAACCGTGCTTTTCCACCGTCGACCAACAATGTTCTGAGCTTAATAGAGCAGCCACTTGGATCTTCCCTAACTCGGACGACAATGAGCATTGTCGGTTAGACGCTAGTTAAAATTTCCGAATGATTAACTAAAAAAAACTAGCAAAGAACGTCCAGCTAACCCGTTTACTTACCATCCCCTTCGCCCTCACCCTCGCCTTCGTCCTCACCTTCTCCTTCGCCTTCACCGTCAAGGTCTGAAAAAAAGCGGATGGCTTTTTAATGAGTGTACCGGGCCACTATATGATACCTATTCTTAAATCAATAATAACGCCTGCCTCTGACTTATTTTAATGGACTCGCAATACTGCACCTGGAGACGCAGTTTACAAATGCACAATCATCAAACTATTATTCGCATTTTATCTAAACGTGCATTTGAATACAATGCGGAATTCGATAGTCTACGCCTTTTCGCTTTAAAACGAACTTCCCGGCTGTCGATAATTTGCGGCGTCTATCAATGTCAATTTTTGCGACATGTGTCTTTGCTGGTTGCATCCTTCGACTACTACATGTTCGTCACTTTGCAATAGACGGTGACTGCTCGTGAATGAGCTCAAAGGCAAAATAAAATCGACCTTATTCAGCGCTTCACATAGAGTGCGATGGAGAACTCCGCAACATGCTACACTGAATGCTCCCGATGGCAGCCGACATGACGCCGGACGGTGGTCCAAGTGGTAGTGCGTTTGTCTGAGATGCTTCGTGAGCAAAGTGCCCGAACTCCATTTCCATATCTCCTAACCTGAGGTCGGAATGTGGTCGGCTGTTGACGGCAGGTTAACAAGGAACTGGCTACTACAGTGTTTTGCGTCTTTACGGTAGTATTTCTTGATAGTAAAAAGTTCTGAGAATGTCTGCAATTCCGTTATGCCGAGGTCGTTTACAATGTTCCGTCATCATAACGCTATATCCTTTGACAGCGAAGGTTTCAACTTACATGTATCTGTGTCTTGACCTAAAATGCAGTAAACGAAATAAGCAGTGAGGGACAAAACTTGGTAAAATGGAAAAATGTAAAGACTTGAAAACGCACATAATTCGATTAATCATTTTGCTTATTGTATGACAGTAGCACAAACTCTAGCTGCTTCCTTTTTAAGACTTAGCTACGCAGATGAGATGGGAGCCCCGTATGCAGATATTTTTTTCAGCGTTTGTGCTCGTAGATAGGCGGGAGCGTTTTCTTTATAGCCAAGGCTGGTAAACAGAAGTGTCTTACTTGGCAGATGAAAAAACTTAATATAAAAGGACGTTAAGGTTATTTGTCATTCCTGAGTAAAATTTGACGCGTCTTCTTGCTCCGGTCATTTCTTCCGCAATTTATAAACGTTTGGTCGCACGTCTTAATATGGTGTTTTAGTATTATTCAGGCGTCTTTTGAAAAGGGTAAAAACCGTTTCATGTGTCGCATTCGCAGTGAAAAGGTCAAGTTTTTGTCCTCTTCGGCCAAGTCATATGTTTCGTTGTTCCTAGAAAGTGCCGACTTAGGCAATTGGGGGAGGGGCTAGGAACTACATATTATCATGAAGCCTCATGGTCAGATTTAGGTCTTTTTCAGGATCTCACCACACTGGATGGACACAGGTCTGTTTAGGTTATCTGGATTTATTCTTAGCCGTTGACTTTACGACAGACATAACATCATCAATTCCCCTAAAACATTAAAAAATTGTACAATGTAAGACGAGACTACGGAGCATACTACTTTAAAGATTATGGTATACTGAAAACCTACAGGACGCCTTTAACTCTTGTGTAAAACTTTTCTTAAAATTTATGTATTTAATTTTACTTCAGTAAAGTGGCAGTGCACCGTAATGGAATAAAGCGTGGTTTTTGGAAAAAATGGAACGCTCATATATAATTCTGCGCAATAAAAAGCGCGAAAAATATTCCAACAGCCCTAAGTGGATGCTGTTACGGTTTTGATGGCCTCGCCGCCGCCGTTACAACACCTCAATCCCTCACCCCTGGCGTCCAATGTGAAGCTTTTGTAGGCGTTTTCTGAAAATCACGCATAAAAAACAGACAGGTTAAAATAAAAACAACTAACCCTTCTTTTTTACATCCCAGTCGGCACCAAAGATGAGCTCGATGCACGCCTTCGCATGCTCCACCGAGGAACTGCCGTGTACCGCGTTGTCGAGGCTAGTCCGTCCGTAGATGGCACGTAAACTTCGTCGCAAAAATTCAAAAACGCTTTACATTCCTGACGTTTGACATCGTCAAAAGACAGAAAACTGCAACACAAAAACTAACCAATCAGGCTCCAAAGAGCCGACCTTGTGAACCTGTCAAACGAGTGAACATCAGATTGATAGAAAGAACGACTAAAGTTTAACATACCACAGCTTTTCCGGTTTTACGCTTCAGTAGTGAACAAAGGAAGAAGAAATTCAAATTTAATGCTGTCGTAAACAAGAAACGAAAGCAACACGACGACCTCGAAATAAAATTTGTTCAAAGTCGGAGGTCTACCTAAAAACCGGTTATTTGCAGAAAGAAATTTACAGGGAGTTCGACCGCCAGAAAGCGCTAAGTACTCATTATTGGCCACAAGAATGAACGCCTAGAACTAGATGCAGTCAGTTCAGATATTTTTGGTAGTTCTGAGAGTTGACTACTCCTACAACGCTAACTGCGAATTTCTCTCTTACGCTGTGTTCTAGCCCCCATAATGTGTCTTGTTAATGATAATTTGTGTTTAAAAAGGACGCTTCAACCTGTCTCATTTACTCGAGCTATGCGACGAGTTATGGGAATGAATCTCGATATACGCTATTTCTCCCTCTCCTTAATTTTTTACTGAAGACGATTAACGAAAACAGGAACATTCCCGAGCAAAGTGTTTCACAGCTTGACAGGCTTGATGGTTAATGATTAGGAATTATTCAAGCCTTTTCTATTGGGACCTATGTGCGCGAACTAGTTTGTCTTAGAACCACGAAGGTACAACAATAACAACAGCGTGTGCTTATCAGACAGACAACACCCAGCATTTATATGTTTCCTACTAAACTAGGACTGAACTGTCACGTGGTCAGAACATGATGTCTTTATGTATTAGCTTAAATCAACTTACTCATCAGGATAGGAATCCACTGCTCTGTCCGGATCTGCGCAGCCCATTAACGCTCGCCACTTTTCCACCCCATCTTGGGCCTTCAAAATTAGGCAGATGGAAGGCGCCCTTTAAGAAGGAAATAAACTTTCATGGTTATTCTCGATAGTCGCTGTGAGGTAACGTTCATTCTTGACTAAAGTATGTGCGTTAAATAAAGTATGCGTGTTTCATGGACGTAGGGTTTCAGCAGGTTTATCTAACCGAGGTTTGGCCTGCTGGATGATAGATAGGAAGAACACACTTAACCTATCCGCGAAATGCCACTGGTGATGGTTTCAAAGAAGGTGGTATCTGCGAGTTTAAAAAATGGTTTTTTGATGTTGAAATTTCTAATACATGAAATTTAGAGGGACTATATTTTCCCTCCAGGCTATGGCACGAAAAACGAAAGGAGAATGTTAAAAACCTAAATGGTACTCCCGCATAAACTGAAGGAACGCAATAAACTCCTGGACTAATGCCTCAAAATCTAAAGCCTCAACAGCGGTTTCGTGGCACAGACCATAAGACCTCCAGCTACAGAGCTCCGCGGCTAGAAAAGGAAAAAAAACTGGCGTATGACAAAAGGGCATCTGAGCTACGAGTACCCTGTTCACTAAAGAGTTTTTTTGAAATGATCGAACCTGGATATATAGGCCTTTTAAGACAACAGCGAACATTTAAGTAAACATCGTGTCTAAAATATAAACTGCTTCTAGCAGCTATCTATTTTACTGATGAAGTTGTCAGCAGAAAGTTAGGCGAGAAGACCAAAATTAGAAAACTTGGGTGTGAACGCAAGAAAGTTATATAAGAAAGCGTAAATGTGTAAAGCTGTGTGAATTACTAAAGATGGAAAAAAGATGAGCTTGTTCACTAGAGGGCCTCAAGACAAGGCCGCCCGTCTCCTGTGCGGGTGACACAGTTGGGTTAAATTTGTCTGCGATTAATATTTCAGGTCTGACTTCAGTCAAAAAGACTAAACGTCGACGGAGAGGGTGTTTCACGACTCACTGGCACAAATAGTCGACGAGGTCATCATAAAAGGGTTTATCCATAGAGCGCTCATAAATGACCTTCAGCTCTTCCGGAGTCAACTGATGCTCCTTCTTGGCAGCAATCTTGAAATCAGCGCCTCGAATGATTTCAAGGAGTTCCTCTTGTAGGACTACAGACTCAGGTTTGATGAGGGCAAACGTAGTTTCAATCGGAAAGAAGTAAAGAAGCTGCTTCTGGGTTTCAGGGGCGCCGAGTGTGGCATCGATCCACGTCATGTCATCGCCTTTCTCTACGTCCGGTATGGAGGAGAACATAGCTCGCAATGATTGCGGACTGTTCTCCTGGGCGTGAGAGAAAGACTCCGGGCCCAGGAGCTCGCGCATTGTTTTATACGCATCCTAAGGGGGAAATAAGAACAGAAAATACGAGACATGAAGTCATCCTTCAAACCGACGTCAAGATTATCAGAGTGAAAATACGTCTGGTCTGAAGTTAAGCAAAAGAGGAGCAGACTGTTACGGAAATTGGTTTATTCTAAGATTGAGCTTTTGGTCAAACAAGTGCAATTGTCCATTTTTGGGGCTACCTGCCACGGCCTTATGATCTCCTTGAGTGTACGTGAGGACGCATGTAAACGGGCCTAGTGTGTATAGCGTCCGTCGAACCCGTATGTGTCCCCACCGCGATCTGAGTGTGATTTATTTGTCTCACGGTTTTGCCCTTACCAGCCAGCCTTTGCGATATGGGAGGGGGAATCCCCACCCAACCTCATCGTGGGGTTGGGCGCATGATAAGCGATGTCAGTAAAGTGGGCGCAACCATCACATGTTATGGTCGCGTAAAACTGTTTCGTATAATTGATATTTGCACATGAGTGGGCCACACAGTAAGAACTTTACGTCAGTTAGCAGAATGACAGCCAAGTTAGTCTTGTGGCACATTTCTGCTTGCTCGGGTCTGTAGATTTATAAAAATCTACCACTACACTTTTTTTCATTCCCCAAAGAAAGGGGCAGTCGAAAGTGCTCAAAGGACTGAGATGTAGACATCTTTCAGCACTGTGAAACGTTAAATGTAAAGGCAACCAGTAGCACTCTCTCAACCCTCTCTCTGACAATTTTCATTAACATCCTAATTATCTATCTTTTTTTGTCATCTAAGTTCCGCAAATATTCCCATGTTACAATTGAAAAGTCAAGTTGGCGAACACGCGTTTTCGGTAATTCTTCCTCAGGCCAATACAATTACATGAAGGAATGAAAATGTACAAAATCAACAGTGTTTATAGATGCCTCAAGGGCTATTAAGTCACTAACATTCATCATCCCCACGCCGCCCGCATGACAAGGTCGGCGGGTGTTAGTCGTCAGAGCTAGGGGAGGGGGGTAAGAGAGTCTTTGAGTGATGTTCTTGGGTTGAGTACACGGAGTACTCATCATCGTGATTAGGGATTTGAGGCGGCATGGCTTCATCACTTGGGTTTGGCGTTGGCCACGGCAGCGAAAGCGCTTGTGTCAGAGTTTTCTGACAGCATAACACCGGATTCGCTAACCGTATAGCTACTGCCTCGGCCGTTGCTAGTATCCGTTGGCGTAGGCCTTTAGAGAAGCATGTTGGTGTCCGGTAGACAACCTGAAATGCTTTCTTGGCATCGACTCGGTGGTTCGTATCGATTAAATGTGCGAGAATAGAACTCGAAATCGACCGGGTCTCACCTATGTCTAGCCAGGCGGGCATATGTTCACGCACCCTCTTTACCAGGCGTCTCGTTGTGCGGCCGATGTATTCTGCTCCACAGGAGCAAGTGAATGAATAAATGCACATTGATGTGGCCTCCAACGGTAGTCTGTCTTTACCTCCCAAACGTAGGAGGGGAGAGTTTGTGAAGCATACGCGTAAATTCGCCACAGGGAATGCCCTCGTGATAGCTGTAGTTAAGCGCCGTCGGACTAGTTCGCTCTCTGCGTCCCCTGCAAAGGCAGTCTTATGAATAAATCTTTTTTGTTCTGCAATCGCAACAGTGTGCTTTGCAATGCGTTCCCCAATATTTCGGAGGATAAATCTATCTGGGTATCCGTTCTCCCGTTTTTTGTCATCGATGCGGGTGCGATGTTCGGTAAATTTAACCATGGCTTTAACGGTTGAGCTTTCGAGGTGGCGTTACGGATCTTAGCATATATGTGCGAAGAAAGCGTTCCGTACGACAGTATCTTTCCGAATTTGCCTTTTTATGAGAATGAAAAGGTGAAATTGCCAAACGTTATCAGTCTGGCTGATGAGGGTATCTAAGGAGAGCGTGCAAAGGAGGTCATAGATGGAAATAATGCAAATATGGCTAGTACTGCTTATGAGTACGCGAACTAGAAGAATCACTTGTGTCAAGCAGAGCAGGGACCCGTTTGACGTTTCCTGATAGGCAGATCCAGAGCCTGAGATCTGCTTACCATCAGTACTGCTCCATGTCAAAAACATAGGCGAAAAAAACATTTATAGACAAGCCGGGCCGAAGAAAGTGAACGTAAACACACAAGGGACACTACAACGCAACGAAACCACGCGTATTCTGACGTATTCTCAGTCAGCAGAGCTAGTTACTTACCTAGGCAGATTGTAAGCCTAGTGAATGCCTACGGTGACGTTGTGGAAGCCTAGTTGGTATGGCTACAGCGACCGAAACCCCTATCAGTTGAAAGGATGTGTCGTGTGACTCAGCCCTCAATCATGGCATCACTGTGGCGCTGATCGATATTTTGCTTTTCACCGATTGGCGGCAACAGAACGTGACTCAGGCGCATGCTCACATGTCGCACTGGTACGACAAAATCAATGGATAAATCTTAAGTTAGATGAGCAATACAGGAGGGATTACCGACGAAGATACGGGAAACTGGGATGGTTATTCTGTATCATTGACTATCGTCAGCCCTGTTTGGATAACCTCCACTTTGAACCAGGATTCGAGTCACTTAGCGTCAAGTCAGACAATTTGCCATTAAACTACAGGTTTGATGTCCCGCCGGTTCCGATCAGAAATATTATTAACAATGGTGGGAGGGAATTCGCTGATCAGTCATGGGAAGGCGTAGGTACAGTGAGGTTGTTGGTATTCTTCCCTGTATCAGTGTTGGTCGCTATGCCACTGCGTGCGAGAGTTCACGATTAAGCTCCAAGATATAACGGGACGAGCATGGTTCGTCACCTGACCAGTGAGCGTCCTCCCGCCATGGTTAAACAATTTCTGTCGCCACTTCCTGTATTGCATTTGATCTCCCGGTCAGAGCAAAGATTGTCCTATTATGGTAGGGACGCTCACCGATCGTTCTTACGGAACTCATTCGTTCCTTTGAGCCTTACGGGCTCTCTCTCGAGCCCAACCAGCGGCCGCACAGCTTCGTATGATATAGGCAAAATGGCATTACCGACAAAGAAAAGGGAGACTGGAATGGACAGTTCTGGCTAATTAGCCGTCGTCAGCCGCGAGTTCGAGCCTCGGGTGTTCCACACTTCGGGTTGAGTATGACTGGCTGACGACGGCTAATAAGCCAGAAATGGCCATTCCAGTCTCCCTTGTCTTTGTCGGTCATACCATTCTGCCTATGGTCCTATTAGGCTGCGTTGCTGACTCTTGCTTTGGGAAGATTCTCCTTGTCGACCTTACACACCAACAGCGTGCTTATTTAAGATCAGCCCCCTTCAAGACCGCGTCGGCACCCAAGTGTGGCAACATGCAGGCGCAAACATCCGCCGTCTAGGAATTTGTTACCACAGGTCACACACCGAGGGGAGGACTGAGGTTTTCGATCATGAGCTCTTATGCGCAGTGTTACAAGTCGCCCGTGCGCGCTCGCTCAGTTGAGCTGTATGCCCATATCTGCCTGACTTATATCTGATTCATGAGCGCATTATCACCATCCATCACATCCGAAATACTTTGTTAATGCCTAAATAGGACCTGAGAACTAGTCCTTTTTCATTGAAACTGACTGGGTAGTAGCTAATTACTACTACGGTCTTTTGGATATAGTCAGTTACTCTTAGTCTTGCTAACGATTATGAAGACGGCCAAGCAAAAGAAGATATTGCTGCAGACAACTTACCTCCTTAGCTACAACTATGATGAGAATAGGTCCGGACGTCATCTCTTTGATCAAGTCGTTAAAGATAGCAAATGAGGCCATGTCTTCATAGAATTCTGAAGCCGCTTCCTCCGTTAAGATGAACTCACGCGTGGTTTGAACCTCGAATCCGGACGACTTGAGGGTCTCAATGATGTCGTTCCGATAGGCTGCATTAGCAGAGGGCCTGACCAACACCACAGAGCGCGGTGGGCCACCATAGTCAGGGATGTCGGAGGAGACCTCCTCTGCCTCCTCATCCGCTTCCTCATCCTCAGCGTCGGGAGTTTCATCAGCCTTCACTTCCTTGACTTCCTCCTTGCGATAGACAATCACCTTGGCGGGTACAAAGTCGGGGAAGGCCTTGGCACGCATTCTATATGGGAATGGTGGGACGAAGAGAGGGTATTCTTGCGCTTAGGCATTCAAAGTCTGTTTTCTATGACAGCTTAGTTCGTCAAGAAGAAATCAAGCGTCATAGTTGTTGACCACATATCTGCTACGCAGCCGCTCGCCTCGCACATATGCTTTTCAGCACAAAAAGTAACTGCCTGTGTTTTCAGGAGGCGGTCTAGGGGCGCGAATACGATTGAGAAACCGGAACCTGGGCGAAGACAAAGGGGAATTTTACGAGCAAATCCCAAAAAGGAGTAGTCAGTCCCCAAAACTCCTCATGGGCCTTATTTCTCTGATCTGTTGCAGTTATGCCTGCTGGCTGCATGCGTTGCCTTTAATTCATTGCCTGACTTAGCGGGAATGTTAAGTTATTATAAAATTCAGGTTATGGTAAGTGTCTGACGTATTTAGGAAGTTGCGTACAGTTCAGTAAGCATGACCTATTTGGAAAACTTTTACATATGAATGAACGCTGGACGAGTCCACATGATCTCTCAGCTCCTCAGTAATTTTGCCATAACCCAAGCCATAGGTGCCATCGCCAAAGTCTTGATTTACGACCGGGAATATATTAGTATTTCATCAAATGTGTATTCAGACAATGCTCCAATCACTCTAACTTATAGAAAAGCATGTAAACGCTTTATTTTTGGCGTACAATCATCTTTGATGTTAAGACTCGGGTTACCAAGCCCTTAGGACTTTTGCTAGGACAGGAAAGTCGTCCAGCGGAATTGTGTGTTATTCCCACGCACACAATCTACAGTGTGATAGCAATCTAGTCGAGAAACAATGAGACCCTTCTCAGATTATGTTGCCAGTACAAATAAAACTGTGTATAACTGCCTATTTGAAGGCTGGTGGCTTTCATCGGGTAGCTGCAAATGCAACCCTACATTGCCAATGACTGTAAGTCTCTTTTTCGCCAGTCGAGACCAAAGGAAAGTGGCTGCCTGCACCCCGTCATATAGAAGTCTAGCTCTGAAAAGCTTTTGGCTTTGAAAATGTGACTGGATACCGAGCTGTTCTTGTGAGCCAAGCCCGCTTTACTCATCAATACAAACTTTCATGTTCGCAGACGCCAGAGCTTAAATCAGATGTCGCACTGATGCCAAACTTGATGATTAGTGCTAAGCAGTAATTGCCAAAAGGTCACAAATTTTATTTAATGTCAACAACGTTCAGCACTCGATCCCAGGTTATTACTTCAGTGAACTGGGATGACTACGTTCGAAAAGGAAAAGAATTTTACTAATATTCATTTTGGAATACTTGCTTTTGCTGGGATGACTGTTAAACCACTCAAAATTTCTTATAACCTATAAAACAAAACCCATACCTAACCGTCTACTTCTACATCCATTCGGCCATGACTGCTTAATCAGCTGCTGAGTAGAGAAGACAAGAGTACACTGACTGAGCTGTTAGATGAGTTTGAACTATGAAAGCCAGCTACAAATTTGAAGTTCTTTTGATTCAAACCTATCTTGTCGAGGAAATCGAATATTTAGTAAACGTTAGCAGGTTACGTTTTCGGACAGGATGTTAGGTCACAGGGCCATTCTGTAAGCCCGTAATTATTTAGGAATAAATCAACCACTAACATTTCCTTTCATAAACTTACAAAGTATTGCGTCTGATTCGGTCGTTGGTATAGACGACCAGATTATGAAAGAATTTTGAACGCGGAGGCCTCAGGATTAGAAGATATTACGGTCAATCTCATAAACTCTACCTCTCCAAAACAATCGATGTCAGAATTTCGTTTTGCAAACAAGGGCGGTCTTCTTAGAGCTTAAAATGAAGTTATAAATGTAAATCTTTAGGAACTTACGATTCTGCTGTGCTCTTATCCTTCCAGAACTTTATAACGGCCTTGGGATCACCGCCACCGAACGCTTCTTGGATACTATAAGCGGAAGAATGTTCATTGTAATAAAGCGTCTTTTTAAGGGCAATGAATAAACACGGGCAAAAGACAAGAGCAGCAGCAGCGGGCTCTAACTTAGTAAGAACCCTCAGAAATCACTTTTCTGATTTTAGAATGGTATAGGTATAGGAAGGGCTTTTCAGTTGGTGGTCTTTTGAATGCCTTTAATGCCAACTAAGAATTTCCATACCATAAATATAAGCATCAATTTTTCCTGATATATGAAAGGGTTTCGAAACATACCGTAGTAGTGTCAATTTTACAATTAAAATCACACTATGTTATCATGCTTGAGTCTGATTTTGTAACAGGACCAAATTATTATGCCCATGTCCAGTAGTGCCTGACAAATACAGTAGTTATTTTATCGCAAATCATAGGGTCTACATCTATTCCACAAAGTAATGGAGCGATGGCACTCTTTTTGTTCATTAATGGTGAAACAGACTACCCATGCACCTACTTCACATTCGCGCCCTACGATGAGAAGCAAAGGCAGGACGACTGGCATTTATGGTATACGTATAACGGTGTACATACAGTACGTGACCTATCTCATGGAATCTGATGTGGGGAACTGATACGATGATTTCTGGACGTCTTTAACGTTGTACATTTTGTTCGCTCATCCAATTCCTTCAATAAAATATCCTTTTCTTGTGCAGAAATTGTGTTTACGTCATTATATGAAGTAAGCTATCAGCAAATTTTGGTGAAACTGGACGTTGGAATATGTTCGTGCAATCTTCTAAGCTAATACACGTCCAAGACTCCGGTTACGCATCTGAGTGACTTTTTCATTGAAAGGAGAGTAATTTGGCCGGGAGAGTTTAAATAAGCAAATTTAGCCGGACGTGAAAATTTATTTTATGTCCAATGATAACCGTGATAATAAACTTGCAAACACAAAGGTTATTAGATGGAAACCAAAGGTTTTTTAAATTCCTATAAGCCATTAGAGCCATTTTGACGTTTTCGGGATATTGCGCTTTTCTAAAAAAATCGACATTTCTAAACAACGCAACACTGCCTTTAACATTTCCTTTTTGTTTTTAATTCTTTTAAACTTGTACTTAATTAACATAGACATTGGACTCATTAAATGGCGTCGGTTTGCGAGTGATTGGCAATCATTCGCAGATTTCGACACATTTCATGAGTTAGTTAACGCACTGCATCACCCGCGCCTGCCAAACAGGACCTGCCTATCAGCTGCATGTGCACCAAGCTTCCATGCAGGGTAATGGGTCTAACTTAAACGCGAGTGTTATAAGGATCACAGTAAGAAAAGGCCATTGCATGTACCAGGGGATGGTACGAACCCTTCAGACGGTCAGAGTTGATGTCATTTAGAAGGCCACCGTACAACACACGCAAACGCGTCTACGGCAATAGGTAAAGACTCATGCTGCTCAGCGCACCCTGACTACACCACAGTATGGGTCTATGTGGTTTCATTTTTGGTTTACAGTAACGGCGACGAAGCCCGTTTAGGACAAAAGTTGCACACCCACACAAACGCGCTCTTAGTACGTTATTTTAGTAACCATGATCATCTATTGGGCACGCTTAACTCTGCCGGTAGCCGAACACTGGTCCTGTGGGTCGTCGCTATAGCATGAAGCCATGCAGTGGGTGCAGGAAAACATATGTTTTTTCAGCAATTTCTGTCGTGTATTTTGTTGACCAAACTTGGTAGTACACACTAACAGTATTATCGAAGGTCTTTAAATCACTTGAACTGTCCAGGTATTGCAAAGTTTTCTGAAGCGTTAAAGGAGTTCGACTGACTTAATTTTGAAATTAAAGAAGGCATCAAGTTTGAGGATCTGCTTACATACTCGCCGGTAATTCTTGGGTCACTGAGAGCTAGGACAAACTAACGGAGGCTGAGATACCAGATGGTATTTTTAAAATACATTGATTAAGTGCCACAGATACGCTATTGCGCACCACATTTAGGCAAAAAACATTAAAAATGCGAAACTGCTGGATTCGAGCGCGACTAGCATTACAGATAAGCAATAGACATCTTTGTTTGAATGCTGCGCTAATTTAGATTACGGAATAATGGTTTAATATTATACTCGTTGAGGTTGCGATTGTAGTCGCCGTTTAGGGTTTCTACAGACTTACACTGGAGATTATTAAATTCACAATAAACATTCTGAGCGAACAAGATTGTTTTTTCAAAGGTGAAATCAACGAAGATTTGGCTATGAACTCACCTTACAATTTGCTTAGGTGGTTCAGCTTCCTCACCGTCAGCGGGAGCTGTAGATTCACCACTGGGGGCATCGGCCGTCAAAATGTAGGGCACTATAGCCTCGTGAACACCTTGCGGTCCCTTGGCGACTATTAGTAGGCGAGCCGGCCCCTTGGACATCACATTGAGTCTAGGACCGAAGTCGGGGTCGTCCATCTCGTCGCTAAGTACGGCATCGATAAGATCATCATCCATCTGCCGTGTCTCATCAACGAGGATTTCGAAGTCATTTGAAGTGAACTACGAACAGTATAATGGATGAATGGAAGCGAATATGTGAATCCCAGGTTCTTGTTATAAAGAAGATGAACAAACGATCTCTGGGGCAGAAGGTGCATTAGTCTGATCTTTCGGTCTCGTACAGGAGCTCATCGCGAATACCATCCTCTGCACTCATATCCCCCCTCGTGACCTGACTACAAAAACTTTTAATTTGATGCCGCATTCTCACAGTCTCTGACGATGGCCTCCTGTACGAGACCGAAAGCTCAGACTAATACACCTACTGTTCCAGAGATCGTTTGTCCATCTTTTTTACAGTATAATGGATGGATAAGTAACAGATCTACCTGTTCGACTATGGCATCCGTTTGGTCCGTACCAACAAAGGCGGGACTGATGATGACAAGGGTACTTTCCTGATCGATTTCTGAGGGAAGAAGCAGATATCTTCGAAGTAACATAAAACTTACCCATTTCAAGAGATTTCCGCTTAGCTTCGGCCTCTTTGGCTTCTTCGATAGCTTTCAGGTAGAGGTCTTCCACCTCGATGCGTGCGACGAAGCCTGCGAATGCTTCTTTTTCGTTCTTCAACATTTCTCTTATAGTAGTTTCCATCAAGGGCGGATTTACGCCTTTTACCACATTAACTAAAACTGCCGCCTGTTTTGAGCAGGTTTGACTTCATATCCTATGAACATTTACCCCAAAAAATAGGAAGTATGGTTCTGAACGGCCACGGTACTTTTCCAAAGAGTCTACTGTGTCTGCACAAGCTGTTGCGAATATCAACATCTTATCATTCAGTTCCTCCTTGAGGCTTCGAAAAAGTCCATACAATGCGGCGCAAGGACCCGTCCATTCTTGAAACACATCGATCACTAGGAAGATCCTGAGTGTACACTTTTCAGAAGTGGCAAACCTTTCAGGCCATCCATTTGCATAAGATCTTCCCATTCTTCTTGGGTCGTTACTTCCAGTTGAACTTGATCCTCCTTTTTACCACCTTTGTTCATGACCTAACCCCTATAAAAACTTGAACACGGTCTAGACCCACAGATAAATGACCCTGGCTTGACCGCCTTAATCGATCGGCCACTTGAATTCCATTGGCTGCCCCGGGGTTAGGACGGCAGCATGAAAACGCGTGTTGGGCTTGTTTTTTATTCTAAACAAGGCAGGTTAATCTAACTTTGTTAAGGTCGTGATTTTAAAACTATTTTTCAGGACAATTCTCCTCGAATTTGCAAAAGGACCATGTAGTTTATGCATGAAACGGTAAAAAACATTTACAGACAATTACTGATATATGTTTCTACTGATGATAGTGTCGTAAAAGGCATGGGACCAACACGCATGCGTAGGCCACACTGCTCTTTGACTCGTGGTATAGTATTCCGCATACTGCTGTTTTTCTGAACAAGGGGGTGATTCTGTGCGAATATTGAAACAAAGCTTCGTTCAGGTGGTAATCACCTTATAAACATAGCAAGAAATTCCTCATCACTGTGGTTAACGAACACCCATGCGGAGACCGTTCTGACCAACTGGGTAATCCTACGCAACACCATGTTTGCAGACTTGTGAGCCTGTGACATTCCAAACTAATTTAAAGTAAGAAAAGCCTGAGAAAACTCTCCCGCTCTGTTAGTGAGAACGTAGTTAAATGCCCCTTCGGAACAAAGAGCCTCCTCTGTGTGCATGGTCTGCTGATCAACAAGGCTTAAAGTGTTAGGGGGCGCTCACCGATCGTTGATACGGGACTCACTCGTTCCGTTGTGCCTTAAGGGCTCTCTCTCGAGCCCAACCAGCAGCCGCACAGCGGCGCATGATATATAGGCAGAATGATATTACCGACAAAGACAAGGGGGACTGGAATGGCCATTTCTGGCTTATTAGCCGTCGTCAGCCAGCCATACCCAAGCCCGAAGTGTGGAACACCCG